TCTGGGGTCTTAACAAAAAGATCAAAACCACAAAGGCGCAATGTAAACAGTAAGTCCCAACCCCTTCTTTTTCATGGCTTCCTGTGGGTCGCTGAAAGCATCGCCATCTGCAGGCTGCTTTACCCTGGCCATGTGGCTTCAGATCCTTCTCAGGCTGCCACCCAACACCAAGAACTCCTCCTTCTGCTTCTTCTCTCCCTGTTGTGAGGGAATGGAGCTCATATGTACATCTTGTTCCTTCTCATCAATCCTGGAAGTAACTGCTAACATTTCCTAGCTGTCCCTTGGACCAGAGCTCCTAGCATACTGCTTGTTCAGCACACATCAGGAACATAGGACACTGTTGGAGCTGGAGCCTTCCTTAACAGACCAGCATGTCCTGTCACTTTTATCTTTAGTTGTACTATTTCAAATCCAGCACAGGTCAGAAGTTACTGGGGGGAGGGGGCGGAACAGTTACCATCCGTCAGTTATTTTGGAAGTTTGTGTTAAAGTTGGTGATCTCAACCCATTTCTGTAGATCAGGTGTTGAAACATTACAAAAACACATCATCCCAATGAGCGCTCATTGACTTCCTTGTTGGCAGTCTCAACAGATCACATTTTATGTTCATTCAAACCTTGGCCAACCATCACATCCCCAAATCCCTCCATGACAGAATTGTGAAATATGGATGTGGCAGCTTGAGGGAAGCTCATACCGCCTGTGTCATGCTGTACTTGTTCTGTGGATAAATACTGGAGGTCATGAGGCTGCCTGTCCAGCACTTTTTGTGAGCTCTTCTTTTTCTTCTTGTGAGAATGAGATGAATACATACAGTCATTTTCCCACCTATGTCATTCTTATCAGGATAACTCATTAAGCCACTTTCAATCTATGGCATGTTTTGCAACTTTAGAATTTTAGACAACCTTCTATTTGGGGAGGAAAAAATCTCTATTGCATTTTATTTACACAATTTACATTAGAGTATTATTTCTCAGTATCCCTTCACTTCCATATGGGGTAAGGGAAGCAGTAATATTTCAAAATACCTTTACTTTCAAATCAGAGGGGTTGATGTGCTTTCCTGTTCACACTAAATAAACCAGTTCCTGGTACCTCTATGAGGCTAAATAATGTGGTTTGTCATTATGTGTTATTTCATTTTAGTATTTACAAAGTGGCATTGCTATACACAGCTCTGCATACACTGATAATGTTTTACTAGGAGTCTGTATACAGTAGCTAATAGCCGAAACAGAGAGAAGAAAGACAGGGCCTGCCAAGGGAGCCAAACTCCTCTGTTATGAGACTGACAGGACATCATTACAAAATGCTCCCATAATAGCTCTGCAGCTACATGGTTGAAAAAAATAGCCACATTGGTGTTAGCAGAACTGTCATTCCCTTATGGGAAAAATCCTATGAAATGTAACAAAATGATTGCCTTTCTTTATGGCAGATTTTTTATAACTGTCTATTTAAATTTAATAGAAGTCTATAGTACAGATAAGAATTTTCAATAGGTTTAAAAAAACTATGGAAAGGAGCTCATTACATATTCAACGCTATAGGTTTTTAGCAGAACTTTCATAGACCCTTGCTTTTTAATAGAACCTCACTTTTTGTGTCTATTAACATCTTTCATTAATTTTAAAGCATTTTAATCATTACATTAGAAATAGAGATTTCTTGAACATCAAAGTTACTATTTTACTAGCACTAAGAACTTTACGTGCATAATAGGGTTTAGTTACATAGATCAGACACCAGGTGGCAGCACATATGTGAATTTTTTTGCCAGCTAGAATATGTTAACATACTACAGTTAACTGTCAGGAGTAGGGCACTATATCGCTTCTTTTGTGATGTGAGAAGCATCCACAAAAACAATACCAAGGAACTACATTCCAGACCTTGTAAAACTTGAAAAGTTTATAGACATCTAGGCTGGGAGATAGGCAGCTCCAGGCAGGGCCGGCTCCAGCATTTCTGCCGCCCCAAGCAAAAAAAAAAAAAAAAAAAAGCCGCGATCGCAATCGCGACCGGCGGCGGCAATTGGGAAACAAAAAACAAAAAGCTGCGATCAGCGGCGGCAGTTCGGCGACAGGTCCTTCGCTCCTAGAGGGAGTGAGGGACCTGCCGCCCCCGAATTGCCGCACGTGCCGCCCCGTCCCTTGGCCGCCCCAAGCACCTGCTTGTTAAGCTGGTGCCTGGAGCCGGCCCTGGCTCCAGGATATTCAAGCATCACATTTTCTGACAGATGCCCAATATGCCAACTGGATGCCAAGATTTGAGGTATATAGAAAGACCTGCACTAATTATCTGCATGGTTGAGGTCTGCAAGCAATCTCATTTACATACAGCTACAGGTTGTAAAGCAAATCTTTCCTATGCCCATTCTGGAGTTGAATGAAATGAAATGTCTGAGAGCACTTTGGGTAGGTAAGCAGCTAGATGAAGAGGAATGAGGACAGGGAACAACTAATGACGCTTAAGAGCTTCCACACTTCAGTGCACTTGTTTCTTTCTTGTCCAAAATTATATTTACGGGGGGGAGGAGGGGATCCTAAAATTTGAGTCAGTTGGCATCTACAGACATACTTTGACCTATATAAATCCCGTTTACTTTCATTTGGCAGGCAGTCTTGCAAATGCAGTATTGCCATGATTAGATAGTGGAAGATGTCACCATTTGGGCCATTTATATTTTGTCTGAAATAGTGCACTCATCACTAGTGTATTTATTAGTACTATAAAATGTATTATTTTGACTCTTTCAATTCAGTACAGTTTATGTTTCTGGGCAGTCCATATTATAGACTGGCCTAGTGCTAGGTAAAAAATTTTGTCCAAAACTTTTTTTTCCCAGTGAAAAATGCACATTCAGCAACACAAACTTTTTCCAATTCATGTTGGTGTTGCTAACTCACTGAAGTAATAAAAAAATAAATCTGGATCAAGGCATTCACTTAGACATTTTACAAAACAAATTGATTGGATTTTTTGGTTCAAAACTATTTTTATTTTGAAATTTCCTTCAAATATATTTTAAAAAAACTTGAAACATTAAAAAAAAGCTCAAAATCAAAACTAAATGTTTAATTTGGGTTTCAGCGAAATGTTTCATTCAACCTGGAATATGGGGTTGTTGAGGTGGCACTGGAGGGGAAGGCGACTTAAGGTATGACTAGACTGTGTGTTAAAACCCATGGCAGTGAGTCTCAGACCCTTGTTCTACTGCCTCGGGCTTGCACTACGGTGCTAGAATATCTGTGTAGACATTTTGGACTGCAGCTCAGGCTCTGAAGCTCAGGGAGGGGAGATGGGCTTCAGCACCTGTGGCCTTAGCCACAATCTCTACACAGTTCTTTTTAGCACCATAGCACAAGCCCATATCTGTAGACCTGTTCTCAGACACACGTGGCTACAGGTTTTGAAACACCGTGTAATCATACCCTTAGAGGCTATCTACTTCCTCCCTCCTCCCTCCTCCCCTCTCCCCCCCGCTGCTAACCTGGGGTCCCACAAATCATAAGGCTGGGCCTAAAGTAAAACCTCTGAATATGTATTTAGACACATGCTTTACAATTGATCCCTGTCAGCCCAATTCTGCAGTCCTTAACCAGGAGAAATTCACACTAACTTAATAGCATTTTTTCCTGAATGAAGACAGCCCAGTTTGATATTAGCAGCACATCATAGTCAAAGTTTTCAAGCTCGATTATTTACATGACATATATAGACTTAGATGCTTAACATTAAGTCCCCAGCTTTGAAAAGCTTGGCCATATAGTCTGTTAAAAATATAGAGCCTTTCACCGGGATTTAAAACCATTATACAATGTGTTTAGCTGGTGTAAATCAGCATAACTCCATTAACTTTAATGGAACTACTCCTATTTATGCCAGCCCAGCCTCTGGTCAATTACAGTCTTGTTGTGACAAGGGCAGAAAATGGCAGAGTTTAAACCCATGCTAGAAATGAAAACTGATTGGGAGACAATGTAGCAATGGTTATGATGATGGAAATGATATAAACATTAAACTATTCTTGCTGCAATCCTACAGTTGTAACCTAGTGTTTTTCTTCAAAAACCATATCCTTTTAAACTGAAATTTTCTAACTTGGCTATTATAACTAAAAGCCACTAGATGCCAGTATTATCTAAACATCAGGAAAAGGCTGTTTCAGTAAAATGCTAGAAGCCTGAGAGGCAATCCAGCCAAATGCTGTATTGATAGTAAAGCTTTTGTATCTTTCTGACTAGATATGAGTACAATAATGTACAGAATATCACTGCAATAACGCACAGAAGAGATATCCCCGGTCACTTTACTAAAACCAAGAAGACTAGATTCTTTTATAATGAAAGAAATTCAAATCAAAGTAGTCCCATTTTAGTATGTATGTCTGTCAAGCAACTACAGCTTGCTGTATCCAAACTGCCATGTTGCATGCAATCCACTATAGGTTAGAGCTGTTGCCAATTTGCAAAATAAAAATCTGGATTAGGACTACATCCCCTACTCAAATTCTTCAGGTTTGTTGGGTGTTCCTGGCTTTTTCTTCATAATAAAAAGAAGAATTCGGGTCTAGGTTCAGATTTCAAGCCAAACCCTAAAGTTTGGTTTGGACCCATCTCTACACAGCAGGATTTTGGGTTGGACCCATTTCCACCATAAGTGTTCTTTCTGTTGTTCCTTGTGGTGAAAGGAAAAATGGGGCTTGGGTTTAAAGTACTAGAGTGGGATACAGAAGATTCTGGTTCAATTCTCAGCTCTACCCCAACCCTTTCTGTGTGGACTTGGGCTTGGTTGGGAGCCACCATAATGCTAATAATAAATATTATAATCCAACTATTTGGAGGGATCTCAAATCTGCTGAGAGCGCATGGGAACTAAGCTTGCCAATCTCTGATACATCAATAGCAGGTTAAACTGGACAGTCTGCAGAGACTTTTACAAAGCGATTTTGCCAGATCTGATGATGTTTTTTTGTCTGTCCTTACCACAGCCATTAGACTTTGAAACAAAAAAGGCATATACCTTTAAAGTAGAGGCCTCCAATGTTCATCTTGATCATCGATTCCACTCTGTGGGTCCATTCAAAGATACAGCCACTGTGAAGATCAATGTGTTGGATGTGGATGAACCTCCAGTTTTCAGCAAGCCTATGTACACCATGGAGGTTTATGAGGATACTCCTGTTGGGACGATTATAGGTGCTGTAACTGCACAGGACCTTGATGTTGGCAGCAGTTCTGTTAGGTAAGGAAACATTTTCCTTCTTACATACCTTTCATACAAATCAAACTCAGAAAAGTTCAAAAAGAGAATTATATAAAGTTTGCAGAGGATAGGTCCATCAATGATTATTAGCTAAAATGGTCCACGACACAGCCCCATGCTCTGGGTTTCCATAAGCTTCTGCCTGCCAGAGGCTGGGAGTGGATGACAAGGGATGGATCACTTGGCAATTGCACTGTTCTGTTCATAGCATCTGGCACTAGCCACTGTCAGAAAGCAGGATCCTGGGCTAGATGGAACATTGCTCTGACCCAGTACGACCATTCTTATGTTCTTGTTTTCTAAATTCATTCTGAGAATGAGATTGAATGGCTCAGGAGAATGGTAATGATATATGAACCATTTCATATGAAAGTCAAAATCCCAGGTAATTGTTGCTGAAAGTAATTATAAAAAAAAGTACATGCTGCATTGGGTGGCATATATGAAATGAGTTGGTCTATATATATAGTAGATACTGGAGAACAGGAGTCCATATCACAAAAAGCACCATACCAGTTGGCATTAACTAACACCCTTGACCTCAGCAGAGGTTCTGGGTACTGAACAGGTATAGAGACTTGTGTCATACCGAGGCGGAGTCCATCAAAAACTGTTTAGAAGTACATTGGGAGCAAATGTGGAAAGGCAGGGTGGGGGAATTGGCAATGCTTTGGACATACTACACCTATATTATGGATAAATGGAGGAATATCAGTGCTGCACCTTTCCCAAGCAATAGTCTTTTGTCACACTTTATATTAAGATTTCATTCATAAATAGTTTATAAAGAGTAATAAATGATTAATCAATTGTTATAGATTGTTAGTGTCAAAGAGGTAAATAGGCTGCATATAACAATCCATCGTTAACACCTTCTAATGATGTGCTCACAACCATTTATTATGCATGGTATTCGTGTCTATAACATGAATAATTTATTAACCCTTTATTTAAAAAATGGAAATTCACTATAAAGTGTGACAAGTCTCATTCTTTCTAAAACTGCCTCAGACTTCCAGAAAAAAAGTCTGATGCTAATGATAAATATACTTTATGTAAACAGAATTAATGGTTCTGATTTAGAAAAGGCACATTAATGATTGCATAAAATTAGATTCTCCTGAAATAGCACATGTAGTTAATATGTTAAAAATAATTTACTCTACTCTAGTCTTGACACTTGAGTTCAGATGTTGGTGGAGATTACATTTAACATGTGAAAATAAATTGTTAATCTTGTAATTCTCCTTAGTAACCATTGCCCAGTGGATCTCCAAAACTACAACACAATTCAACAAAAATGCTAGTCTTTTCAGAGGTGCCTAGGACTAGAATGCAAATATCGCTGGAGTTCAGGATCTAACATAGCTGACATAGCAATGGGAAGGGTGATTTCATTCCCACAGGTAGTTCTTGTGCGTGCCCATCCTGCATTCTTTTCCACCACAAGATGGTGTAGTTTCATATAGACTGGGGGGCATATGTTACATTACCTCCCCTCCCACCCCGCCACTAACAAAGGGCCAGGTTGTGAACCCCTTCCCCCAGCGGTGAGCTTACAAAAGTAGTCCCATCAAAACCAATGTTATCTTGAAAATTGGACTCTCTCTTAGGGCCAGATAGTGAGCCCCTTACTCATGTTTCTGAGCAGTTTCTTATTCAAATGGTCCCATGTTAATCTCTTGAATAAGTAACTGCTCTCCAGTGAGAGTAACTGGCTGACAATCAGGCCCTAAGAGAGACCATTTTTCATGCTTGAGTGCCTTAGGCCCTGGTCCTGCAACTGAATCTGCCTGAAGGAACCGCTGGTTAAGTCTTGTGGGTGCAGTAGCTTGTGATATTTTTATAGTGAGCAGAGCGGTGTCAAGATAAACCCTTTATTATGTATAGAAGCTATATATATAGAAATGAGGTAACAAACTTTCTGCTACTCTGTGTAGCTGTAGTTCATGACTGCCGTGTCCTGGGCTGCTTTGTTTCTGCTCCAGAAGGAAGTGTGTCCCAGGAAACTAAAGACTGCATGAAGAATGGCATCTCTTAGTTTCCTGGAGGACTTACTCTATAGTGCATCTTCCCTTTCTTGGATCACTTTCTTGGATCTCTTTCTTAGCTTCCTGACTTAGTTAAAACATTAAACTAAAACTATGGCAAATACAATAACTGATTTAACAATTCTTCGGAGCCCACCCAATGGAGCTCATTGCAGTACTGGGGCCTATGTTAGGTTGAGGTGCTCATTTCCAGATTTACCCAGTCAAGAGGCGACTTGTAGGGAAGGGATGGGGGGGGGGGAGTGCCCCCCCCCCCCAGATTTACCTGCCGAGGGCTGGGAAGGAGAAGGGCTCTGTTCTTCTCTCCCTGCTCCTCCCCACCCAGCACATTCAACCGCTCTCCCTGGCAGCCGAGTAGGGAGATGGATGGGACCACTTCTGCCTGAGAGACCCTGGCTGGGAGGTCAAATGTCCTCCCCTTTAGATTGTGCACTGCCCCTCCCCCCCCCTGCTCCCCCCCACCCAGTATGGCGAGGCACAAGTTGTCTATGCCCTTAGATGTCCAAGTGCCAGTCTGAGAATCCAAATGAGGGATTAAATACTCTGATTTAGGCTCCCAGATTTGAAAATTGGGCTCATAGGGCCTGATCCAAGGCCCATTGAAGTCAGTGGAAAGATTCCTATTCAGTTCAGTGAACTCTGGATCAGGCCCAGAGTGTAGGACTCTTGTGCTTTAAGGACAGATAAGTGAGGCAGTGCCAGAAGGCCAATAGACATACTGGGACAACAAAAAGAAGAGATAAGTATGTGTTTTCAGGACCAAAATCATGATGGTTTGGCTGAAAGAAATTATCTTTCAGAGTCAAACTGAGAGAGATGTACTGCCTCTATAGTACCTAGTAGTTGTTTTTCTATCTTTTCTCTTATCTCTTATAACTTTCCATCCAAATACCTTTGGGCCTTGGTGCCTGATACAAAGCTCCTTAAGTCAACGGAAAAACTCCTATTTGCTTCATTGAGCTTTGGATGAGTCCCTTATAACTGTGGAAATTGCCAGTTAAAGAACTCCCATATTTGGGGGGTGGGGATAAGATGTTCATTGGTTACTATTTAACCTGTCTGTGTTCACATATTGGTTAGTTCAAGTGAAATAACATAGATGCAATTGTTAATTACTTACATATTAGAGTTCAATACTCCATAAGGTTTAGATCCTCTAATTGAAAGTGAGAGTCAATAAAGAAAAGTTAGCAAAAGCCTAAATTAGTTACAAAGATCTGCATGTGATTACAACTTTCAAATGGGTCTTACAGCAATTATGGTCTCTTGGCTATTTAAAATCTAGATTACCTCGTACGGGTAAATAATGGTCTGTCAGTTTTACAATATTTTAAAGAAGGAGCTTAAGTAGTGTAACACTGCTTCCAAATAAATAGACCCTCTAAGTAGACACAGAACTGCAAGAAATGTTCTCTGAGGTAATAGGCAATATAATGTGCTGGATGGTACAGTTTCTTTACAAATTAATTCATGTTCCCAGAGATGTTTTCCTAGAGCAGTTTAGCCATTATGATGCCTATTACAACAACAATCTGCAAAACAATGGAGACTAGAATAAAAGACAAATCTGCACTGTATGCAGCAGAAGTTATAACTCAACAGAACAAAGCAGTCTAAAACAGCTCACATTAAAGGATGCAACACTAGTCACAGCAACTTAATCCACTTTATCAGGCAAAAATGTTTAACTCTGTTTTAAATGTATGGGGAGGGGGAGATAGTAGCTTAATAATAGTGGAGGTTGAATTTAGGGCTTTTGGCAGGGGCTGGGGGGGGGAGAGGAAGGGGAGACTATGTTGCTGGAAATCACTGAAAATGCTGAGGTTTATTTTTCTCCAGTAGATGGAATTAGGGCTGTTGAGGTTTCTGAGAAGTTCAGAGTTTGAATAAGTATGGATTGTGGGGATGGAAGTTGACAGAAATATGGAAATGAAGTGGCTCGGAACACACATTCAGAGAAAGAGAAATAGGAAGACACAGAGAAAAGAAGGCGCCTTAGGTAGTCAGCACCTGCAAAGATGACTCTATGTGACACTGTTTCAGAACATTGTCCTAGTGCACCTGATTTTCAAACTGTGTTAAATTTAGATTTTAGTACTCGCGGGAGAGATGTTCTGTCCATTTCCATTTCCGTCATACCGCAGCAAGAAATGCTTGGCATAAATGTTAAGATGAAGTCCTGTGTACTTTGTGGCCATTAAATATCCCAAAGCACTTCTCAAAGAAAAAGAAAGAAAATATTCTCACATGTTCTTCTCAGATTCCTCTAGCCCATGACAGTTACAAGCCCTTCAGGACAGACGAGCATCTGTACTCAAATAAACACTGAGAATTTATGTCATTTATAAATCAGAAAATGTTGGTATCAATTAAATCTAATTTCTTTTGGTGGGAGATAGCATCAGGTTTTTTTATTAAAACCATGCTTACATCTGCACATACTCTATATAGGTTGAGACCAATGTGACATCATAGGGACAAAGCTAAGTAACGAACAAAAATGCCAGCATAAGTAGATGGTGGGGAAATCACAATTACATACAATGATATCTGGAGTATAGAGATTTCGCTAACATTGTGTGAGATTAAGCCACATTTCAAGTGGCACCTTTGAAGATGTCAAATTTCCTAGGAGATGATGTATCTTACTGGATAAAGGATTTTTACCTTTGGTCTGAACTACAGATGTGACTTCAATTAAAATGAGTTTGATATTCTCCTCCATGACATTGCCCTGCAGAACCTCCTTGCTTGCCCTACCTCATGAGCCACAGAACCATGTAAAGCAAAAAAGCCCTAGGGGCTGTGCATTCATCCTGCTCAGATCCAGAATTCCGGAACTAGGATATAACCCCCCCTACTTACATCCGTCTGTACTGTTAAGAACATAAGAAAGGCCATATTGGGTCAGACCAAAGATCCACGTGA